ACACACACCACACCCCCACACACCACAAACCCACACACACACAGCCTCACAAACCACAATAAAAATACGGCAGCAGAAACTGTCCACTAAAATCACTTTTTGAGATGGTATTATGGAAAAAACAACTGAATGGTATCGTGGTAAATCGGGCGCTTGTCACAAAAACGGAATAGAAGAAACCAACAAGTTTCCGACAGATGGGCAATCTTCAGTGAACGCTTGGGTGTTTTTGTGCTCAATACCATAAACACCCATGGAAAAACACATTTCTGTGTGGGTTTTGCTGAAATATGTCCATCAAATTCACAACAAACAAACATTTGTTCTTTCTGCAGAAAATTCCAGCTCTGGAAATGACCAGACTTGAGCAGCCATTTTCTCAATAATTGTACCTTGGACACCCAGCGAGCCCCCACCTTCAACCACAATTATCACCACTTTTATTCCAGACAGACGGCAACTGATTTCATCCAAAGCAAGACAACAAAACAGGCGTCCAGAACATACCGCTATCTCTACATGGCCAGACACCGACAAGCGCCTGATTGTATCGTATCCAGACACAAAGCACACTGGACTTCTTTTAAAATATAAAAACCTCCAAAAAACAACCGCCCATAATTTTGTTCGTTTGATCGTGTTTGCGTGCCCCTGTACTCAAACCTTCCCCCGGGACGCTGGAATCCTTGAGCAGATTTGTCTCTCCTCACAGCAGATGTCGGAAGCTCCGTGCGTCCCAGTGATCCGGCAGCCAGACACCCACACACTCGTCCCCGCCGGCACTTGCCAGGACCCCGCTGTTGTAGTCAATCTGGCAAGTGGAGTTGGAGCAGTTTTACTGAGGGTTTTACAGCACTTGTAACACAAAGAGGCCATATAAATGCTGATGATTAGAGGAGTTACAAGAGAGTAACAAACACAGAAAAGAAGGAAGAGAGATAAAGACCATAGATATTTGATAAGAATGAAGAAGCAAACCACAGCAGACCACCTGCCAACCACCCACGATTTGAGAAAAAAAGTTAAAAAGAAAAAACAACTCTTGCAGATGTGAAACAGACACCGGCGATCACAGTTCACTACTCATTACTCCACTCCGATGTTCTCCAAAATCTCTCACTATCCTCCCATGATCCGGGGGTTTCCCCGTCACCCGTCTCTTCAAACTCCCATGATCCGGGGGTTTCCCCGTCACCCGTCTCTTCAAACTCACATGATCCGGGGGTTTCCCCGTCACCCGTCTCTTCAAACTCACATGATCCGGGGGTTTCCCCGTCACCCGTCTCTTCAACTGTTCTTTTCTTTATCTTACAAATGACCACCATAATAAAAAGGAGAAGGTGGAGATAGATTGGACATGTTCTGAGAAGAGAACCAGACTCTATTGTGAAGACTGCTCTCCACTGG